TTCAAAGTTTTTTGAAGTGAAGTTCAAGTTGAAAATAAAGCGATCGTTTGCTGGAAGTCGGTTAGGTTCGGATATAAGTCCAAGAGGAAGTCCAAGTGTATCACAATCAGCTTCCAGCAAGCTACGTGATTTCATTTTCGAGTGAGTCACTCTCTAAATAAGTGATGATTTCGAAATGAAAATATTATCATTTGGAATTGTAAAAGTGAATGTCTCATTTAAGGTTATGTCGATTATAGAGAGTGTATTAATTATAATTAATTTATTCCTATGAGAATGATACATATTAGATTTATTCTTTAATTTTGAGTGAAAATATTCACTAGATAAATCAGAGTAAAGAATCATTCGAATTTTTGTAACTCTACTCTATTTTTCGTGTAAAATTTTACTCTAAGAAATATCAAAAAGGAATATATATCTAATCTAACAGATATTTTTCAGGGAAAATCATATATCAGAGATACCACAAAGAAATTTTATTCATTATTCAAATGTTATTCAAACCACAGACACAATTAATATAATCTGGAATTGATATAATCTGGTTACTGATAATAGATACTTTATAACCAAAAAGAAATACCTAAGAAAAAGTAAGTATCACATGCTTAAGTAAGAATTATGTATAGTAAGTAAGAATTACCCAACGAAAAATGACTTATCGAAATGATATCAAATCGACATCGAAAACGTATATCGAAAACTAATTGATAAAAGCATCGATTTTGATTTATTTATGTCACACTTTTCGATGAATTTACGACGGGATAATGAATCGATTTCGATTCAATAATGACGCGATTTTGACTTATTAATGATTCGATTGCGAGTCACTAATGATTTAATTTCGACGCATCAATAATTCTATTTCGACTGAATATTGAGTATCTATTCTATATAATGGTTTTGCCTAATAGTCAAAATTTTGACAGAACTTGCTGACATGCTGTGCTACCAAATTGACAGCAGAAACTAAATAGCAATTTGATATAGCAATTTGATAGCATTAGAGGCAAAAATCGAACAAATTATGTATGGGACATGATTAGTTTCTGCCACAAATCTGATGTAGAATCATATCAGTATGCTGCAGACAAAACATGAGCTTAGTAAAGACATAAATGGTTATGGTTTTATTGTGAAATTATCACATTTATAACTAATCTGCTAACATAAAGTCAACATTCTGTTCACTAAGTATTTTGCATTTAGGTTAGATTACCCTATTTGCTACAAAAGGCTGTTATTAAATTTCGAATAAAGTAAATAATATTTATTCTAATAAATAAATAAGAAAGAGAAAATTGTAATTAAAATAAGTGAGAAGGTGAGATTTTATTGAGAGATGAAACAATCTAGCTTTCATAAAATATACTTACCGCTGGTTCTTCCATAGTGATATATTACAGTATTGTTCGTCACTTATATCCGTCATATCAATAATATAACGTTAATGTAATAATATAATATTTCAACGGTTGTTGCTGGATGCAGAATATAAGGCGATGTCCCATGAACAGAAATTTTTAGCGGAATGGAACGTGCGAACCAATCACAGCCACTCCATTCTTTTTACGAAGAGAATGGCTGTGATTGGTCTACACGTTTCGTTCCACTGAAAATTCCGTCCATGGGACATATTGGTCTAATTAGAGATAATGCCCGAGATTTTAAATTTATTTCGATATATGTTATATGATATTTTTTTAAGAGAAAGATTATGTATAACACATATTCATCGTCAGATTCTTAGATATGGCAAATTATGTATTTCTTTTTGCAAAGACATCGATATTATATCATTTAGATATCGATTTGATTTTATTTTGAGATTAGATTCTTAAAATATTAATATTTTGGAAAAAATATATATAACTTGCCATACTTGAGAATCTTAACGATGAATACATGTTATAAATAATCTTTTTCTTAAATAATATCATATAGCATAAACATCGAAATAAGCTTTGCATTTCGACATTATTTTGATAAGATGTAATTTCGATTATTTCGACGTCAATTCGACATCGATTTGATGTGTCATTTCTCGTTGGGTATATACAATAAGAAATTATGTGTATTATTGTTACAGTTTTTGTGCGTTAGATCAGTTACAAACTTTTTCCATTTCCTTCTTACTTTCAATTCCTTTTTTTCCTTTTATCGATTTAATTAATTATTAATAAACCTACAATAATGTCCAAATGTCAAATGTGCCAACATATGTTTCCTTCTATACCTTCATATAATAAGCATCAAATTTTGCATAAAAACATGCCGGATTTAAGAATAATATGTATATATACTAATTGTGGGAAGCAATTTAACAAATATCTAAATTTCAAAAAACACATTCTTAGGTGGCACAAAACAGATAGTAATACGCAAATATATAATTGCAAAGAAAAAACTGTAATGCTTATTTTACAAATAGAGAAGGTTTTAATAAACATTTATATCATCATATAAAAAAAATAAAATCGGGATTTATTGTGGGTACCCAGCTTGTTCTTTTAATAAAACCATTTTTAAAACAGTTAATACCTATGCAGTACATATATGTAGATATCATTCAAAACTTAGTTTCTCTAAGCAGCATAACTCTAATGATATCTTTAATGATAATCATATGGATAATAATAGTCATATGGAATTAAAATTTAATACTAGCAATAATAGTAACTTTCTTGTCAATCAGATTTGTGATGATGAAGTAGATTATAGAAATATCATATCAAAATTATATTTCAATTTAACTACAAAATATTTTTTAACAGAACATGCATTACAAGCTGTAATAAATGCTATGTCATCTGTAATTGAATTTTCTCACCAACATTTTATTACTATGTTAACTAAGAGTGATCTACAGGACGATATTAAAAAAAAAATTAAAAATATGATTGAATGTAGCCATTCTCCTTTTTTAAATGTTCATAGCTTTATAAATGGTTGTCTTAAAAATACGTATTTCAGGGAGAAATATTTTAAAACAAATTTTCATGTTGTGATGCCAATACAAATAAACTTAGGATTTGATAACCTACTCAAACAAAGCTATTATCATTATATCCCGATTTTGCAAACTTTAGAGATATTATTAGAAAATAATGATGTTCGAAGTTTCTGTTTAAATTCTCATAATGATTATAATGACAATATACTTCACGATATACAAAGCGGTAATATAATAAAAAATAATGTTTTCTTTAATACTAATAAAAATGCTTTACAAATTATATTATATCAAGATGCATTAGAAGTGTGTAACCCACTGGGAACATAAAAAAAAATTTAAACTTGTCGGTATATACATGGTGCTTGGAAATTTATTATTATATCTTATATTTATTATTATAGCTTATCTTAGAACAAAAGTTGAGCATATACAGCTTGTTTTGCTATGTTATGAGAAACATGTCACATTTTTCGGTTGGAATAAGATAATGGAAATTTTAATAAATGATTTAAAGAGTCTAGAGAAAGATGGAATAAATATTGTTGATAATAAAACAATTAATATTGTTGGAACCGTAATAGCAATGTTAGGTGACAATTTAGGAAGTCATCAAATAGGAGGCTTTACTGAAAACTTTACTTCTTCCAAATACTTTTGTCGTTTTTGTGACATAAGTCGAAGTCAATTAAAAAATATATGTACAAATATAAATAGGAATCGAGATAACTATGATTTGTGCGTAAAGCAAGCGGAACAAACTATGAAAATCATAAAAGGCATAAAACAAGATTCGCCTTTTAATAAATTGAATTATTTTCATGTATGTAATCCAGGATTGCCACCCTGCATAGCTCATGATCTTTTAGAAGGTATTATTCCTTATGATCTTATATATTGCGTACAATATTTTGTTAAAGAACATTGGTTTAATTACGCGTTGCTGAATTCTAGACTTGAAAAAGTCAAATTCTGTAACGAAAACACAGCTATTAATATTTGCCCCGTAAAAGATTCATGTAAGATTGCAGGTACTGCAAGTCAGATTAGAACAATGATATTAATATTCCCTTTAGCTGTCTTTGATTTAATTAGGAATACTAAAGATAATATTTGGTTATTAGTACTGCATCTTCGTGAAATCTCGTTTTTTAATGTTAGCTCCTGCTTTATCCTTCGGTCAGGTTGCGTTATTACAAGAAAAAATTAATGAATATCTATTGCTAAGATCAAAATGTTTTCCGAATATCAAATTAAGGTCGAAACATCATTATATTTCTCATTATCCTTCTTTAATTATATTTTTTGGTCCATTAAAACATTTATGGACTTTGCGATTTGAGAGCAAGCACAGATATTTTAAGAATATAATTAAACATTCACAAAATTTTAAAAATATTACGAAATTGTTATCACTGAAACATCAATATTTACAAAGTCTACATTGCAAGGATATATATCGCAATTTGGTAATAGCAGATAATGCAGAAGAATATTTTTCAAGAAATTTTAATAACAATATTTCCTCCATTATAACAAATTATTTTCATAATAAAGGAAACGAAAATTTTAAATACATAGCTTCACAAGTAACTTTCAGAAGCATTACATATAAAACAGATATGTATATCTGCATAGGAAAAAATTGTTATGGTTATTTTGTCTTGTGCAAAATCAAATTCATTTTAGTAAACGATTGTTACACAAATATATATTTTGTGGATACTACGATAGAAATAATATATAATCATGATTTTGGTGTATATGAACGATTTGAGTTAAAAGATCAAAAATATAATATCGATTGAATCTCTTTATTTCCATATTCCTCTTTACTAGTATCACATCCTGTCCTGGAAACCTGCTTAGTTTCTATTCCCATTTATGTCTTCAAGTATATGCCTTTCGATTCATAAAGTTGAATTTTGAAATTATGTAAGTAATATTTGAGCATTATTTTATTTATATCATTGTTTATATTATATATTTATATTATATATTTATATTATATATATATATATACATCTTTTCTATTTTATAGATGTCATATTTATTTAAAGTTTGGTCTGCCAACAGAAAACAAAAAGCGTCACTTGTAATAAATGAATCTGATAACATGTTATCTCAGCTTATTACAAAAAGTAATATTAAATTTGGTATTACCGGTTCTATTCTTGTTATGGAAAAGGATGGTACAGTTGTCAACGATGATGATGTTTTAAAATTTTGTTCTGGCGAAACATTTATATTACTACAACAAGAAGAAACTTGGTTGTCTCCAAATGAAACGGAGTTATATAGTATAGTATCCTGCAACAGTTCGTCCTTAATTTCGACTTTAAACGAATCTACTTCTGATTCATCATTAACATCAAACTCGCAAAATATTTCATCGCCAACAAATCTAAAATGCAAGTACATAATGAAGAAACGTGGACAAATTTTCATGTACCTTGGGAAGCTATAGAGCCCACAGTACTTAAAGAATTAGAAACAGGAAATCGTACCAAATATATAATACATGCTGTTGTAAATCGTACAATTTCTGAAATGAGAAATTTTAGCGAATTTATTCTGTCTAAAGCTTTCAAGATAATAGCTGAGAAGATTATCGATAAATATCCGCAAACATTTAAAGATATGGATGAAAATGGTGAAAGTTTTGGAGATGGGATTCACACGTTATATTTAAAACTTTGTGATAGAAATAGTTATCTTAATAGACCACACATGAAGAGATCTTTAAGTCGAACTTTAAATATACCATTAAGGAAACAAAGAAAAATTTTATCTGCCAAAGCTGGATGCAGCAATTGGCAACCGGAACAATATGTTGATTCAGAAACCGAAGATACAATTGAAGACAAGATTGAATTTGTACGTCGAATGGCTCTACAGGGTTCTCCAACAATTGATACTGAACAAGATAAAATTTATTCATATATGGAAATAACATATCCTGCACAAAGATTATTCCTCAATAATGTTCATAAACCGCCAACAATTCAAGATATAAAAACCTCATGGCCAATACTTTTACGAAAAAGATATATGTTCTGGCATTACCAGAAATTAATGGGACATTCTATAAATGTTCTACAAGAACAAATGTTAAAAAAAGGGAAAATGTTGTCTTATGGGCGTATGAAGAAATACCAAGATATTATTGATTCAACTAATCCAATAGAGTTCAAATTAATAAAGATAATTATGAGACATTTTAAGGAAGATTTTGACATATTATTTAAAACATATCCTGTAAGTTGTTTAAATTAAATTAATTTCATTTGTTAAGGGGATGCTGGAATCGATGACGAACTTTAAAAATACTGGAATCGATAACGTAGAAACAATCGTCGTCACTAACTAATCTAAACGATCATTACTAACTGCTTATACTTTTCGTATATCTTGTACATATAAATTTTACATAAGTGTGTATTGCTTTGTTTTAAAATATTTTACAGTAAACCTAACCACGTATATATAGAAATCCTTTTGCAATCTTTTCGAATTAAGTTTATGTTTAAGCTTCTAAATTCAAATATAGAATTTTTTCGACATTTTAAAGATTTCTGTCCGGTTTTGGACATTGTGCTGCCTGAGTATATAAAAGTTGCAGAATTTTTGTGTCAGGTAAATATTTACATTAACTGATGCTGTCTGACAGATAAACTTACACTTGAAATATCTTGAACTTTGAGGTTTTTTATCGTTTATGTTATTTATTGAAAAATAATTTGAATTCATTCTTTTACATATTTTCATTATATAAGAGTATTTGTAATTCTGTGCAACCAGTACGACGTAAACTTAATACAAATTTTGACTCCAACATTCCCTTAAATCACACAGATGACCTTTAAAAATTCTACTAAAATTTATTTATTTTATAGGAAGGTACTTCTTTGAAGGAATTAAATACGTCGATTTCTGCACCGTGTATTATTATTATAGGTATGATTCTTATAATCATAAAGACTATAATTATTTTTTATTAAATGTTTCTCCAATTTATATATTTTCATGACTTTGTTACAGATGATGCGACATGTCCTATGTTATATTTATTTATAGAAGGATTATAGATTGAAAGAACACATAGCTTTTATGAAGCTTTGGAAATGTTGATGTCTTCATATTTCATTTTTAACATGGAATATCCCGCAAACTGCACATGTACTTTAGAATTTATACAGAAATTTTTTTTAAATATTCATCCATCCTGTGGTATAAAATCTCGTAAGATATCAACCAAGTATAAAATACTTTCATTTTTCAACAAACTAAGAGACATTGAAATAGTAGACAAGGAAAATGTTATGTAGTAAGATTTACTCATAAATATTACATATATTCTATTGTTTGTATACAAGATATAATAATTTGTTAGTAGATATAATATAAATATAAAGTTTAATTTGCATGAAACAGATATTATATTATATAATAATATATATTTTGTTGTTATAATATATATGTTGCTTTTTTTTATTATATACGAGGGCGGTCCGATAAGTACTTAGCCTCACCGCCCGATGGCGCCACTATCGCAAGAGAAATTTACTATCGTGTAGTACATTCTCGTAGACGGCTACTGTCGAAATTTCAGCCGAATCGGACTCGTAGTTTTGTTTTGACCGCGTGTGGAAGCGGGCGTGTCCGCGGATTTTAGAAAAATGGAAAAAGAGCAATATCGGTCGGTGATTCGATTCTTGTTTTTGGAAGGGAAATCGCGCAGCGAAATCAAAGAGCGCTTGGATGCTGTGTACAGTGATTCTTCTCCTTCGATGGCGACCGTCAAAAATTGGTTTAACGAGTTTCAACGTGGTCGCACGTCGGTTTTTGATAAGCCACGCCCAGGTGCCCCGAAAATGGCTACCACGGAGGATAACATGACAAAAATCCACGATCTCGTATTGGCAGACCGCCGATTGAAGGTGCGCGAGATAGCTGAGACAGTAGGCATCTCAAAAGACCGCGTGGGTCATATCCTGCATGAAATTTTGGGCATGAGAAAGCTGTCGGCGCGATGGGTGCCGCGTTTGCTCACTCCGGACAACAAGCGCAACCGTGAGACCACTTCAGAGCAGTGTTTGACGCTGTTTAAGCGCAATCCGAAGGAGTTTCTGCGTCGTTTCGTGACCGTCGACGAAACATGGATCCACTGGTACACACCAGAGACCAAGGAACAGTCGAAATAGTGGACTTCACCCGGCGAACGTGCTCCGAAGAAGGCGAAGACTGTCCTATCGGCCGGAAAGGTGATGGCCACCGTTTTCTGGGATTCACAAGGTGTGATCTACATCGACTACCTGGAGAAGGGCAAAACGGTCACAGGACTGTACTATGCCGAATTATTGGGCCGATTCGACGCCAAATTGCAGAAAAAACGGCCCCATTTGGCGAAGAAAAAAGTGCTCTTCCACCATGACAACGCACCGGCTCACACCTCCGCCCTCGCCACGGTCAAATTGGTCGAATTGGGCTACGAACTGCTGTCCCATCCACCGTATTCTCCAGATTTGGCCCCGTGCGACTTCTTTTGTTTCCAAACTTGAAAAAGTCACTTGCCGGGCAGAAATTTGAGTCGAATGAGGAGGTCATCGCCGCCACGGAGGCCTACTTTGCAGACCTCGAGAAAACGTATTTTTCAGACGGGTTAAAGAAGTTGGAGCATCGCTGGGTCAAGTGTATCGAGCTAAAAGGAGACTATGTTGAGAAATAAGTCGCCACTTTTCCAAAATTTTCGTTTTTCTTTTGTAGGCTAAGTACTTATCGGACCACCCTCGTATATATATTCCTGTATATATATAATATACATGAAATAATTGTATAACAACAATATAATCATTTCAGTCGAGTGATTCGTTAAGTTGATACACTGAGGAAAGATATAATTAAAATAATGAAATTTTTTGCTTATACGAATATATTTTCAACAAACATATTAATTAGTTCGATACAATTTATCATTATGCCAATACATTTATCTAATAGATATGATATTTGTTTGACCAAAAATTGATCAAAAAATGACATTTGCTTGACGCCGATTTTGTGAATTCAACTACTTTTTATGAACTCAACAATTTTTTTTTCTCAGTGTATAATAGTGTCATGCAAATATTTATGTAGATTGTAGTATAAACATATAAAAATATAAGTATAATTAAAATATAAATTATAATTATAAGACAAAATTAAAAATAATAACATAACGTATTATTAGCTCTCATGCTAATTAACAACAGATCAGATATTAAACTTTTAATATCAATTTTAATTCCTTCGTTATATTCTCTTGGTTATTTGAAAATAATTTATTTTATCCTTTTGTGTTAGTAAAAAATATTTTGTGTATGACTATTTTAATATTTTATTACATAAATGTATTATTTATTACATTAATAGTTCAACGTTTGTAATAATGTAAATAAAAATTATAATATATCACTAGTTATTATTTTTACATATATATCTAAAAATATGTACAAGTGCGTGTGTACTATTATTAAATTTGCATCTTATTTAAATACGTTGTGAAAAATATATATGAAAAATTACAACTATTGTAGTGAGTAATTTTAGGACCAACTATTACAGGTGTAAATTTATACACGTAAATAAAATGTCCCGCTTGCAGATAAATGTCTTTTCTAATATTGTAATTAAGTTGATAACACAAATAACATTAATGTTATCTGTGTCATCAGCTTAATTATAATATTAGAAAAGAAATATATCCGCAAACAGGAAATTTTATTTACGTGTGTAAATTTACATCTATAATAGTTGGTCCTAAAATTACTCACTATAATAGTTGTAATTTTACATCAATTTTTTACAATATATCAATTTTTTACAATATAAAACAATATTACGAAACGTATTCATAAGTGTACAATCTCTGATTGTAAATTTTACGTTATAAGTCATATAAATACAAATATACAAAATATTACTACATAAATATTTTTGTATATTTACCCATTTCTATAAGTTTAATATTTTAATTTGTAATAATACAAATTAAAGAAATATTATTACATAGACACTTTGTAAATTTAAATTCAACTTTAAATTTACATGTAGGAGCAGTTTAATTACTGAACAAGAATGTAAATTTACTTACAAGTTAGAAAAATTACTTACGTGTGTAAATTTACACCTATAATAGTTGGTCTCAAAATTGCCCACTATAATAGTTGTAATTTTACATGAAAATTTTTTACAGTGTAGCGGGCTCGCCGCGGAAGGGCCCCGGCGCGAGTTATAAGCTCATCGTCGTTTCTCCTTTTCTTCAGCATTTATGTAGCTTCACTAGGTAACCGAATCAGTCATTTAGCAAAATGGACGCGCTCTGGAAACATCCTTGGACATCGATCGTTTGCGGCCCTACGGATTGCGGGAAAACGGTTTTCGTAAAGACTTTTCTTCGCTATTTACCCACGATGGCGGATACACGTTTCGACAGGATCCTATTTTATTATGCCGAGTGGCAAGAGGCTTACCGCCAATTACAGCATGAAGCGGCGAAATCGGGACGATGCGTGATAGAATTTCGAGAAGGCTTACCGCGCACGGATGATTATTCAAATGACCCGCTTGTCGCGAAATTGGTGATAATAGACGATCTCATGAGGGAATCGTCATCGTGCGAAGTAATTGTCGATCTGTTCACGAAGGGGAGTCATCACAAAAACCTTAGTGTTATACTTATTTCGCAAAATCTATTTCATCAAGGACGAGGGCAACGAGATATTTCTCTCAATACGAATTACATCGTGGTATTCAAAAACCACCGCGATCCTGCTCAAATTCGTCACTTGACCAGGCAGGTATGTCCGAAAGATTCAAAGTTTTTGGAAGAAGCTTACTATGACGCTACATCGTTTCCACATGGATATCTGTTGCTCGATCTGAAACAATCTACTCCGGATGAGTATCGGTTTCGTACATGTATCCTCCCCACCGATACTACACACTATGTTTACGTTCGAGGGGGATCCACCAGAAGTTACGTATAAAACCCGTGCCTATGCTTATTTCGCGACAGTCTTGTCGTCGTAATGACAATGGGTGGAAGCAGAACGAACGCGAAAAAGAACGATAAAACAGCAAGCTTGGCAAAACGATCCATCGGTGAAAACAACATCTCTCTTCTGAAGACGTTGTGCTACTTGACGGGGAAACAACGCGCCGCCTTTCTGCGAGAAGCTGACCGTGATTTCATCAGATGTATTTGCGAGTGCGCCTTCAACACACTCAAAGGTAACGTACCGCTCGGCAGAAGGGAAAAAAATCCTCTATCACGTTATAAAGCAACGCTACGTCATATCGCTAATAATCGTGCCAATTGGAGAGGCAAACGGAGTGTGATAGTGCAGCGTGGAGGATTTCTACCTTATCTAATTGGCCCTATACTCGGTGCTATATTATTCAAAATTATTGATAATTAAGACTATTCGCGCTTGAACCATGGAAAGAGCCAAGAAGATGGTACTGATTTCTATGGATAATCTTGAGAGATTACAGCTGCAGACTCATACATCGCCGACCTCGCTGTCGTCGTCGTCGTTGGCGTCTTCCTCGACTACTATTCCCTCTGTTTTGACAGATAAACCCACAACTGGGTTGAACATAGCATCAGTAGAGAATGAAAATACGGTGCGTACTTCGGGTTCCGTCCTGTCACGTCTCGACGCAGAGATGCATAGAATTCTCAACTCTCCGGTCCTCGGAGGAGCGCGGGAAAAATGGAGATTGTATAGAGAGGTGCTTCAACGATATCTGTACTTTTTTCGAGAGCGGGAAAAACGCCGATTACGCGGAAAAAAGAAGAG